ATCAACACTCGCTGTCGTCGAACCATTGAATCGATCCAAAGCATCTAACACCATAATTCATCAGCGGGACGCATGACTAGAAACCCTAACCTCTCCACCCCGAGGAGACGACATGAATCTACTCCTTAGCTCTGGCAATTCCGTCCTGTCAGATGATATCGAGGTGGTTTGGAGATGAGAAGATAATCTCGACAGCGAAGCACCGTCATCTACCGAACGTCACCTCCGCGAGGGTCACCATCCTACACATGCCTCTATGGCGAGGTGATGATATTTTATTCCATGCCAATTGCGTCGGCATCGCCTCATCGCAGCCGATCAGAGACAAACCCTAATTTTTTCCATCCCGTAACTTGTTAGCGCACACGCACAACGAGAAAACCCTAACCTCGCCGCCTCGAGGAGCCGCCATGAATCAACACCTTATATCTATCGATTCCATCATGTTAGACAAATTTGAGATGGTTCGGCGCCAAGAAGATCATCTCGACGACGAAGCAGCGCCATTTGCAGAGCGTCACCTGTGCGAGGATCACACTATCCTTGACACGCCTCTCTAGCGAGATGATGACATGTCATTCCATGCCAATTGCGTCGACGCTACCTCACCGCCACAGGTCAGAGACAAACCCTAAACTATTGCAACCAATAACTTGTCAGCGCGCGCGCACGACAAGAAGAACCTAACGTCACCACCCCGAGGAGCCGACATGAATCTATGCATTAGCTCTATCAATTCCGTCCCCCGAATGATTTCACGGTGGTTCAGAGCCAAGAATATCATCTCGACGACAAAGCACCGCCATCTGTCGAGCGTCGCCTATGTGGGCATAACACCATCCCCCCCCACACCTCTCTGGTGAGGTGAGGACATTCTATTCCATTCCAGTTGTGTCGAGTTGTGTCACCACCGCCAATCGGAGACAAACCCTAAACTATTCCAACCCATAACTCATAAGCATCATGCATGACAAGAAAACCCTAACCTCGCCATCCCGATGAGCCGACATGAATTAGCTCTGTCGATTCTGTCCAACCGGATGGTTTCGAGGTGGTTCAAAGCCGAGAAGATCATCTCGGCGAGGAAGCACTGCCGCCTGCCAAGGGTCGCCTCCACGAGGATCACAACATTCTCCACATGCCTCTTTGGCGAGGTGGGTATATTTTATTCCATGCCAATTGGGTCAACATCATCTTGCCGCCACCGATTGAAGACAAACTCTAAACTATACGATCCCATAACTTGCAACACGCATGCATGACGAGAAAATTGTAACCTCGCTACCCCAAGGAGCCGACATGTATCTGCATCGTAGTCCTGTTGATTCCATCCCGCCAGATGATTCCGAGGTGGTCCAAAGCTGAGAAGATCGTCTCGGTGATGAAGCATGCCATCTGCCGAGCGTCACCTCCACGAGGATCACACCATCCTCCACACTCCTCTCTGACGAGGTGAGGATATTTTATTGCATGCCAATTGCATCGACGTCACCTCGCCGCCGCTGATCAAAGACAAACCCTAAATTATTCCAACTATTGCAACTACCAAACCAAAACTTTGGGGTCCCCGTAACCCTTCCGTTGGTGGAGCGACAAGAGGAGGGAGAGGGGAGCAGCGGTTAACATTGGGGAGATCGGTAGACTGGCCCAAGAGATAGAGGTCGACAAATAAGTTGAATGCGGGCACACTATAGTTTGGCAACAAGAAAAAACCCTAGCAAAACCATTACATCTTCCGTGCATCACATAAATGATCATATTTTATATGAAATTATGCGCATCCTAAATTCCTAGAGTGTTGTACACCAGTTTTATTGTTATTTAGAAGATGCCGAAATATAAAACCACTATCTAGAACTAGCTTAAGGTTGAAGTTTCAAGGAAATTAGAAAAATCATGTATTAACATGGCTGGTTTCATAGTTCAAAGTTTAAACGGACTTGTCATCATATTTGAGAGCTTAAAGGGACTCTTCTATGTTATTCGTGAAACTATAACATCGATAATGGACTTCTAGTCAGATAACTGTATAGTGATGTCCACTTAGAGAATTTTCTTATGTGTCATCATTATTATATAACATATCTAGAGAACTAACACCTTGTCAATACAAAGTAGGAACCACGATCAAAACGAACTAGTCTACACACAACAGGAATTCATGTACACCTAATAACTTCTCACCGAGGTCGATATAGTCAATTTGGATAATTAGTTGCATTGTTGTTGTCAACAACTAATGATTTCACCATGCTAGAGAAAATGAAACTAGTCATTATCATTTGTCGGCTTCACCCACGACAAACTTAACGTCATATCCAACTCATCATAATGTCCATAATGTAATCATATTCCACAAACATATCCATTCCTCCTGCATCCAACAACTTCTCACAAAATGCGACATAATTTAATGGTAATAACTAGTTTCCCTTGTAAATAATTACGATGCCACAAAGGTGGAAGAAATAAAAGGCAGTTGCTATTTCTGGTATGATTCACCCGCCGAAAACTTGACGCTCACAATTCATATGACACATGCATATGCAGACCATCATAAAGCCTATAATGTAGTTGCGTATTCTACACGCATCAGTTCACGTGCACCCCCTGATTTTTCACCAAAGCCAACATGGTTAATTTGTGATAACTGGTTGCTCTCATGAAGAACAACAAATGCCTCATCATTGAGAAAAGTTAAACTAGTTACTATTTTTTGTCGGATTCACCCACGACAAACTAACACTCAAGTGTCTGTGCCGTATGCATATCTAAAGCATCATAAAAGACCATAATGTAGCTGGAAGATATCAAAACTAAAATGAAAAGGGATAAATTAGTATTTAAGCAAACGTAAAAAAGTCAGCTTTTGACATCATTGTCACCCCTTCCTTAAACCGACAATAACTCACGTTCTTTGCACCGTGCGTCGGAAAGTTCACCCTGATATAAAGCATGCAACACTGGCACATGCAGTTAGACACCATGTCGGTAGCCTTCCAGTAAAAACAAGAGGCTCACGCCTTCTATGTCCACACTCTTCCCATCTTCTCCCTCGCTCCGCACATCAGCCGGGCGCATCGGTTCGCATGCACCCAGGAACTTCTCACCAAAGTAGTGGGTATAGTGTTAATACGCGATACCCCCCTCAATAAGAACAATGTTGTCGTGATCGAAAATGGTGAAGCCATTAACTACATTTTGTCGGATCCACCCACGACAAACTTCGCGCCCACGAGTCCTCGGCGAATGTATATCCAAAGCATCGCGAAGACGTCTAACGGAACTGGAAGATAGTAGAACAGAAATATAAGTTTAAGATTTAGGTAACGTATAAAGGCCCGCTTTCCACGTCACCCGCGTCGCTTCTTTAAATGGACAGTAGCTCGTGCTTCCCGCACCCGCGCGCGGGAAAATTCGCCCCGATTAAAAGCACACAATGTCGGCTCATGCAGCTAGACGTGGTACCGGTAACCTTCACGTAAAAGCAAGAGGCTGACTCCTTCTCTGCCGCCACCCTCCTGATCTCCTCTCTCGCTCTGCTCTCGTTGCCGCCCACAAGAGCATCATCAACAATGGTGACCAGTTTGTCCGGTTCGGAAACTTTAGGGTTTACTAAAATAAAAAGGGATAAATTTAGTATTTAAGTAATGTAAAAAAGTCAACTTTTGACATCACTCTCGTTGCTTCCTTAAATCGACAATAACTTACGTTTTTCGCACCGTGCGGGGGAAACTTCACCCCAATTTAAAGCATGCAACACTGGCATGTGCAGTTAGACACCATGTCGGTAGCCTTTTAGTAAAAACAAGAGGCTCACGCCTTCTATGTCCCCACTCTCCCCATCTTGCTCCCCACATCAGCCGGTTGCATCGGCTCACGTGCACCCAATAACTTCTCACCAAAACGGCGGGTATAGGTAATACGTGATAACTAGTTGCCCCCGTGAATAAGAACAATGTTGTCGTGCTTGAAAAAGCGAAACCATTAACTACATTTTGTCGGATCCACCCACGACAAACTTCGCACCCACGAGTCCGCGACTTTGGAATGAGCATCGCAAAAGACGTCTAACGGAACTGGAAGATAGCATAACCGAAAGATAAGTTTAAGATTTAGGCAACGTAGAAAGGCCCACTTTCCACGTCACTCGCGCCGCTTCTTTAAATCGGCAGTAACTCGCGCTTCCGACACCCCCACCCCCCACCCCCCGCGGGGGGGAAACATCACCCCGGTTAAAAGCATGCAACGTCGGCGCATGCAGCTGGACGTGGTATCGGTAACCCTCACGTAAAAACAAGAGGCCGACTCCTCCTCCCCCGCCACCCTCCCTATCCCCTCTCTCGCTCTGCTCGCGCCGTCGCCCGCCCGCTCGCAAGAACATCAACAACAAAGGTGACCAGTTTGTCCGATTCGGAAACTTTAGGGTTTATATCCAATTTCAGAGACTAGACAAATATAAAATCCCCAATATAAAATATAGAATTCATAAAGGACTAAAAGGTGATACACACAAATTGTTCCCCCCTTGCTTACAAAGTGACCCTACCAACATTTTCTTCTCACGATCCACCCCCTAACCATCTTTTGCAGCCAGATGTCCATCCACAGGAGCCAGTGACGTGTCCGCATATTTGCATCATCAAATCCATCCATCAATTGCCATATCATATCGCAAAGCTAATTCACCCAATTAAAAGTCCAGCAGAGCAGAGTAGAACCCCCAAAAAAGTCCTTCTTTTCGCCAGGATTACGTCCCAATGCAGGCGCGAGGCAGGTGACAGCAGTAGAAGCATCGGCTGGGGTGGCTCGCGGCACGCACGCACGCTCACGGAAGATTTCCCGAATTGCACCTCCCACACCCCCCCGGCGCAGAATAAAATCCCGTCCTCGGGCCACGACTCTCATCGCTCCCCTCCCCACCCACCAGCGCGCAACCAAACCAGACCAGAGCGAGCGAACGACTTGCCTCTCCCCTGCTCCCGACCCCAGCCCCAGCCATGGCAATGGACGACGTCGCCTTCGCCGCGGGCTCCTCCTCGTCCGCCATGGACGCCCTCGCCGCCTCCTCCTCCTCCTCGTCCGCCGCGCCCGCCGACCCCTCGCACGGCTGGCAGAAGGTGACCTACGCCAAGCGCAGCAGCCGCAAGCCCGCCGCCGTGGCCCCGGCCGCGGCCGCGGCGCCCGATCTGGGCGGCAAGCCCGGCGTCTTCGACGGCCTCGACAAGCGCTCGCAGGAGCGCCACCGCGCGATCCAGGCCGCCCGGGACGCCACGGCCGGCTACTACGATGACGACGACGACGCCGCCAACGCCGCCCGCGTCCCCTGGGGCTCCCGCTCCTCCGACGAGGGCTCCGACTCGGACGGGGCGGCGGCCAAGGACCGCGCCCAGGCCGAGGCGCCCAAGAAGCCCAAGAAGCCCAAGGTGAAGAAGCCCAAGGTGACCGTCGCCGACGCCGCCGCGCTCATCGACGCCGAGAGCCTCGCCGCGCACCTCGTCGACATCTCGGTACTACCCCCACCCCTCCTCCCTCCCCGAAATGCATTCCCGGAGCCCAGATCTCGCGAGTTCCCGTCCGGATCATGGGTTTGTCTCCTTCCCGGGGATCGGATCTGGCCGGGGTTTAGTGCCGGATCTCGCCGGCCATGTCCGAATTCCCCTGCACTGTTCTGTACCAACTAGTTTCGTGTTTAGGGGTACTAGATGCATAATTCTGGTATGGTACGGATGGGCCGTCGGGGAAGTCGGGATCCCGTGATGTCAAGATGGGATCTCAGAAAGGCTTTGGTGGTTGGTACTGTGCTGTGCTGTGAGGGCTGGATGCTGTAAAGGTTGCGGCTCTTTTCTTTTTGTTTAGATTCTGATTGTTTGCTTTGTTTGTGCAGGCCTCGTATGAGAACCAGGAGGGCATCCAGCTCATGCGCTTCGCCGACTACTTCGGCCGGGCGTTTGCCAACGTGAGCGTGGCCCAGTTCCCCTGGGCGAAGATGTTCAAGGAGTCACCCATGCCCAAGATGGTTGATGTGAGTTATATTGGTTCACCCAGGCTGCTTACTTTTTTATACGATGAGTGTTGTGTTTGAATTACATGTGAAGTAGAATTGTGTGATTAAATACAATGGTTATGCAGTTTTAAGGTTTCGCGCCAATGCTGACGCTGATCCATGCATCGTCAGTAGTGGTTTGAGTAGCGTTTATGCTGGTTTTGTTGGAGAATTGTGTGATTAAATAGGATGGTTATGTTGTTTAAGGTGTACATGTGAAGTAGATTTGTGTGATTAGATAGGATGGTTATGCAGTTTTAATGTTTCATGCTAATGTTAATACTGATTCATGCATCGTCAGTAGTGGTTATAGAGTGACGGTTGTGCTGATTACCTGTTTAGTATTAGTCCAAGATGGTCGGTGTGAGCTGTTAGTTAATTACAGGTTCCTTAATTCTGTATGCATGTGAGTGTTTTATTTTGAATTACATGTGAAATAGAATTGCACTTAGTAGGATGGTCATGCAATTTTAAGGTTTCGCGCCAATTTTAATGCTAATTCATGCATCCTCAGTCCTGGTTTGAGTTGCAGTTATACGGATTTTGTTACCTGTTTAGTATTATTACTACAAATGTCCAAGATGGTCTTGTTGTGTTTGAATACATGTGAAGTCGAATTGCAATTGATAGGATGATTTTGCAGTTTTAAGGTTTCGCGCCAATTTTGGTGCTAATTCATGCTTCCTCAGTAGTGATCGATTAGTGGTGATGCTATTTTTTGCCTTATCTGTTTAGTATTAGTCCAAGAAGGTCCATGTGAGTTATTGGTTCACTATACAGTCTCCTTGTTTCTCCATGCATATGGGTTAACGTTTGATTTACATGAAACAGAATTGTGCTTATAGTATGGTTATGCACTTTTAAGGTTTTGCACCAATGTAGATACTGATTCATGCAGCCTCGGTAGTGGTCTGAGTAACGTTTATGCTGGTTTTGTATTGGTACAGGATGGTCGATGTGAGTTACTAGTTCGCTAGAGGCTCATTGTTCCTTCATGCTTATGAGTGTTGCATTTGGATTACATGTGAAATAGAATTGAGCCTAATAGGATAATTGTCTAGTTTTAAGGTTGTTTCCCGCCAGTTTTGATGCTAATTCATGCATCTATCATAGTGGTTTGAGTAAGGTTTATGCTGCTTTTGTTATCTGTTTAGCATTATTACTGCCAGTATCCAATATGGTCATTAGTTCACTACAGTCTCCTTACTTCTGTATGAATAGGAGTGTTGCATTTGAAATACATGTGAAATATAATTGCTCTTAATTGGATGCTATGAAATTTTAAGGTTGCGCGCCAATTTTGATATTAATTCTGCATCCTCAGTAGTGGTTCAAGTAACGGTTATGCTGTTTTGTTGTCTGTTTACTGTCAGTCCAAGATGGCCCTGTGAGTTATTAGTGCACCAGAGTCTCCTTACTTCTGTATGAATAAGAGTGTTAAATTTGAAATACATGTGAAATATAATTGCATTTAATAGGATGGTCATGCAGTTATAAGGTTTCGTCCCAATGTTTATGCTAATTCATGCATTGACAGTAGTGCTTCGAGTAACGGTTGTGCTGATTTTGTTATCTGTTTAGTATTATTACGCCGCACTTGTTTGAATTCAAGCATCATCTGCAATGGTCCACAAGACGGTTATTCTACTTTGGTATTGACTATTATTGCTTGTCTAAATTCCAGATATGCTAGGGTGGAGTTATGTAAGGTTTCACTCCAATGTCGATATGAAATTAATGCATTGTCGGTAGTGGTGGTTTGCGTAGCAGTCATGTTATTTTTGTCAACTTTTCAGTACTGTTCCGACAATAGTGGTACTAATTCAACCACTGTCTTTAATGGTTTACAAAACGGTTGTTCCACCTATGTACATTGGCTGTTCAGTATTATTAATCATCTGAATTCCTGAAAAGCTACTATGGGAAGTTAATTAAGATCATCAAATTATTACATGCCTACGATTCTGTCCTAGAAGGCAGGTTTTTACATCATAATGCATAATGATTGTAGTGCACTGTACCTATGTCAATAGTGCTGGTTATACTAATGGTTGCAGTAAGTTCTCAAAAGTTGTGGCGGTACATATTATTTCTGTAAATGGATATCTGAATCGGGGTGAGGGAGTTGAGCTACAAGGCCGATTATAGTGATGGGCTACCTTCTTAGTATATTTATTACGCTTGTCCATATTGCATTTTGACTCCATCAATGTGCCATTTTTTACCTTACATTGAGAAATTTAAGAGTTGGAATAACCTTGCTTTACAATTTTTTTTTCCTTCTGTTATGAGCCTAATTGTTTGATGTATCATTACAGGTACCATTGTCCCATGTTCCTGAGCCAGTTTGCAAGACTGCAAGTGATTGGATCAGCCAGAGATCTCCTGATGCATTGGGCGAATTTGTTTTGTGGTGTATAGATAGCATCATGTCGGAGTTGTCAGGTCCAACTGTTGGACCTAAGGGCGCGAAGAAGGTTCAACAAACTCCAAAAGCCCAGGTAACATTCATCCTATTCCCATTATGACTATCATTAGTTATCATATTAATAATTGTTGATTCATGGTGGAGAGCACAATAGTATTGTAATTGTAAATGACATATTGTAGTACTGGACCTATGTCAACTGAGTCTACAGTCTAGCACCAATGTAGTCTAGCACCTATGTCAACTGAGTCAACTGACATATTGTAATTGTAAATGACATTGTAGTACTGAAGTGCCGATGCATGTAGAAATATTTTGTTCTAAATAACCATCTTGCATTGCATAGGTAGGTTCTGCAAATTATATATTTCATCTGCTGGCCTCTTGCATTGATGGGTAGGTATATAGCTTGCTTCAGTGCCAATACCTTCTTTCTGTAGGTATGTAGGTTTCTGATAGTGGAACACAAATAGGCCCTGTTGTAGACCTGTAGTTCTTTTGGAGCTCCTTGGTTCACTTTAGGAATTTCATTCATCTTTGCACGAGTCCTCCTCATCAATGCACAAAACTTCTGCAGTTTCTGGAAACGCAAAGAGCTATATTGTTGATCTTTCATCTTGACCAGCATAATCTTCTTGAGTGTTGAACTTGTGGTTATTTGTTGAGTTGATGTTTTGGGTTTAGTTTTTAACCGAACATTTTCTTTTTTCAGGTTGCAATATTTGTTGTGCTTGCCTTGACTTTAAGAAGGAAGCCAGATGTACTAATAAACCTCTCCCCCAAAATAGTGGGGAACAGTAAATATCTTGGACAGGAAAAGCTTCCCATCATCGCCTGGGTTATTAATCAGGTATTACTCAGTTTCCGTATCACCTTCTTGCTCGCTCTGAATTATGTTTACTTCTGAGGCCCTAATCTGCATATTTTCTATTTCCTTACACAATTTAATTTTCGTGTTATATATGATAGGCATCTCAAGGCGACCTAGTCTCGGGAATGTTTTGCTGGTCGCATTCCCTATTTCCCAGTGTGTGTGCAAAGTCAAGTGTGAATCCTCAGTCAAGAGATCTTGTTTTGCAGTTGCTCGAGAGGTATACTTACTGTAAATATGTATATGCCATTTTTTGATTATTTCTTAGTTCTTATACTGACTGTAAATATGTATATTACATTTGGTGGTTATATTTTAGTCTTGTGCTAATAACTTTAAATATGTATATACCATTTTTTTGATTATATATCTTAGTTCTTATACTAATAACTATAAATATGTATATAACATTTTGTGATATCTTAGTTCTTATACTAATAATTATAAATATGTATATAACATTTTGTGATTATATCTTAGTTCTTATATTAACCGTAATTATGTGCAGTACACTTTGTGATTATATCTGAGTTCTTATACTTCCAGAAGTGCTTAATGAGATTTCATGTGCAGGTTTGTGTCTACCCCTAATGCCTCCAAAGCTCGGGCTATGCTACTGAGTGGCGCCGTTAGAAAGGGGGAGCGCCTGGTTCCTGCTGGAACACTTGATCTCTTTATGAGATGCACATTTCCCGTGCCTAATGCACGCGTCAAGGTTCGTTAAATTCTCCCCTCCTTTCTGTGGCATGTTTAATACGAGACAATATTCTAATACCTCTGCATTGAACTCTTCAGGCTACAGAAAGGTTTGAAGCAGCCTACCCAATAATAAAGGAGCTGGCTCTTGTTGGTACTCCTGGCTCCAAAGCTGTGAAGCAAGCATCACAGCAGCTTCTGCCTTTGGCTGTGAAGGCAATGCAAGAAAGTGAGTTTAAATATGTCCATTCTGCAATACAGAGCCGGTTTAGTTTTGTTTTGCAAATTCCAGTTGGCTTACCGGTGTATTATGTACAGATAATGCAGAGCTTGCCAAGGAGGCCACCGATGTGTTCATCTGGTGCCTGACTCAGAGTCCAGAGTCCTACAAGCTGTGGGTGAGTGATATTTTTGTTTTCTTTGTCTTTGTACAGCTCTGTCCAATACAAGAAATTGGCTCAGACTGATGTTTAATTTCTGTTTCCAGGACAAGCTTCATGCAGAGAATATCCAAGCCAGTGTTGCGGTCTTGCGCAAAATCACTGCAGACTGGAAGACACTCTCTCCCAAGCTCAACTCTGAAGCTCTTAAAGCAACTCTGAAGAGCCTCAAGGCTAAGGTGAGCTTATGTGCACAACATTTTTTTGCTGTTCAGATTCAGATCCTTCATCCATTCTGGTTGTACTTTATGTGCATAATTTTTCTACTAGCAAATTCTCTGCTGCCGTGATGTGAAAATGAGACTTATGTGGCATTGACATTTTTTAATCTTGCATGCCGTAGCTAATTTACCTGTTGATCAAATATACACCTCCATATCCCTGCAAGTAATATTTACATCCCTACATGTATTGCATATCATCCGTTGTGATCATACTTTATGTGCATAGTTCTACTAGCAAATGCTCCGTAGAAAGTAGTTCAAGCTGCTATGATGCTAAAATGAGACGTATGTGGCATTGACACTTTTTAAGCATGTATGCAAAGCTAATTTACCTTTTGGTGAAAGATAGTATTTACTGAACCTTCAACATATCCCTGGATATATGTGCATGTTCTAATCTTGTGCACATTGGTTTGTATTGCAGAATGAGGCTGCTCTGGAGGAAGCAGAGGACTCTGGGGAGAAGGCGTCCATCAAGGAGGCAGACAAGTACTGCAAGGCCATCATCGGGAGGCTGTCGCGCGGTGCCACCTGCCTGAAGGGCAGCCTGCTGGTGATCGCGCTCGCGGCCGGGGCCGGCTTCATGCTCTCCCCCAACCTCGACCTCACCGCCGACCTTGAGAAGCTCCAGGCGATGGCGCTGGAGCTCCAGGCCATGGCGTCGGAGTACCTGCGGTCCTTCTGAACATAGCGTTTATACTGAGAGTGGAGAGTGGAGAGGGGAGAGAAATAAAGAGGGGAGAGGATAGGTCCTAGACAAAGAGAGAGATATACTTAGTTCGTCTGAGTTGTTTACCGTTTTTAGCACCTTTATCCCAAGACAGTTCCTCCTGGGAGGAGGTGGCAGCGACAGTTGTTTTTAAGTTATGTTAATTAATCCGTAGACTGATGATATCCGTGAGGAGGATGAGAAGGTTCGGGCCAAATGGCCCGACCTTGTGGACTGATTAGAAATCCTGCCTGTCGTGTTGGTCTGAGACAGTTTTGGTTTTTAAATCAAAAGTGCTGTTGAAACTTATTACTATGTCTCTGTTGGTTTGTGTTTTATCCACTTTCACTCTGTATGCTGTTGATTTAATCGTTTTGTGTTTTATCCACTTTCACTCTGTATGCTGTTGATTTAATCGTTTTACGTTTCACTCTCTGGTGTTCTTCTCTTGTTTTTTTTTTGTTTTTTTTTTGCAGGGAGATGAGCTTCTGTTGATTTATTTGACGGCGGTGTGTTGGTCTGTTGCTGAGGTAACTAACCATGGGATTGCATAGTCCTCTGCTTCCTCCAGAGCCGCCTGAGGTGAGTACTTGGTAATGGCGGCCACGTGTCGGCGAGGAGGCGGCCGTCCCAGTCAAGGCTCGGCACATGGGCGACATGGCTACAGTTGCCGGCGACTGAGGTGAGAAGGTACTACTATAATGGGTGGTGAACCTGGACGGAAGGTGGTGCTGGTGGCCACCGCCCCCCTCCCACTCCGGCGGGACCCGCCACCCCACCGACCTGCCGTTCCCAAGATGGTAAGGCAAACGAAATCAGTGGAGTGGTCACTCAATCCTTCCTACCATCCCACATCACAGCCCGGCGCCTTGCCACTAGTACAAAGGCGCTCCGCTCCCCGTCTCCCCTTCCCGGAACACGGCGACTCCACCACCACCACGACTACCGGCTGGAAATGGCGGCCTCCTCCCCCTCCGCCCTCGCGCTCTCCCCCACCACGCGGGTAAGCCATCAGCTTCGCTACCATCCTCATGCCTTTGTTGACTTCTTTCTGCTGACTTCTCGCTTGCTGCTGCTCCAGGTAGCTGGCTCGTCCGTGCTGCTTGCTGTGAGGCGGACGCCGGCGACGCGCGTGGCCGCCGTTCCCTCCGCCCAGCTCCGCGCGTGCTCCTGGGGGGCGCCGCTCGATCTCCGGCCGGAGCTCGCCGCGGCCCCTGCCCCGTGCGCCGCCCGCTGCAGGGCGCCTCTGCTCCGGCCTCGCGCATGTACGCACTCGCCACTCTCGCCATACTCTCTTTTCTTTTCACCAAGACTTGACAGTTACAGCAGCGCCCGGTCGACGGCCTCGCAACGCCATGATTTGACTGAAATATTGCTTCCCACGTACAGGGCTGTCGACGTCCCAGATTGCCAGCTCCGCCTTCACCCTGGGCACCGTCGCCGTCCTCCCCTTCTACACGCTCATGATCGCCGCCCCCAACGCCAACATCGTAAGCCCACCGCCCCCCCTCATTCCTCTTTCTCTTCTCCTCCGCAGGCCGCGCCATTGACAGGAAAAAAACACTCACCTGCTTATCCTCGTGCCTTTCGGCGCAGACTAAGCGCGCCGTGGAGAGCACCGCCCCCTACGTCGCCCTCGGCCTCCTCTACGCCTACCTGCTCTACCTCTCCTGGACCCCCGACACCATCCGCGCCATGTTCGCCAGCAAGTACTGGCTCCCGGAGGTCACCACTCCTCACGTTCTCTCAATGTTGAATACTTGCAGCAACACTAAGATTCAGTACTAGCATTGTGCATTGTCTGAATGTTCTTGCGCCTTAGCGAAAAGTATAAATAACATGTATGGTCCTTCAATCTTGTGCGTAGTTGCCTGGCATTGTGAGGATGTTTGCGAGCGAGATGACCGTCGCCTCCGCCTGGATCCACCTCCTAGCCGTCGACCTCTTCGCCGCAAGGTCAGTCGGCCATTTTTCGTTCATTTTTAGGTGTATGCGATTGTGAGGTAGACACTCATGTTTGTGTTTTTTCCTTGATGGTGATGCAGGCAAGTGTACCAAGATGGCATCAAGAACAACATCGAGACCAGGCATTCGGTTTCGCTCTGCCTGCTCTTCTGCCCCATCGGGATCGCCGCTCACGCGCTCACTAAGGTACTGGCGGGTTCCACAGGTCGATCACACTGACTGACGACCGATTGCGTGTAGGCAGGCTCCCATTGTTTAGATGGCTCAGATAGTGTGATTCAGATATATATGAATAAGATTGACTTGGTGCACCATTTGTTCCATATAGACATCACATTGATTATTTTCACCCAATCTATTGGAATTGGCTCGAGAAACTGAATCTACTCGCCATCATGGGTTCATAGAAAGGCTAGAACTGCTGATTTGATTTGTACTATCTGAGTCCTGTTATGAAGAAATGTACAAGTAATTTATGTAAGATCTCGGATCAGCAATGACACAAATGTAAAGGAATCAAAGAAGATGAGAGAAACTAAAACATCGCTTTAAACTGCACTTGTGGATTTGTTTATTGTTCAAGCAAATAGACTAATAGAGGGTTTATATTGCAACTTCACAACTAATGAATTTCTGAATGCCGTGCCAAGGTTGCGTGACTCTTATATTACGTAATGGTAAACCTATTGAAGTGGAAATTGATCAAACGGCGTGGCAGTGGCAGCTACAATACCGATTTTTGTCCAGCCCGTACATATACACCTTTTGTACAAGTATAGCTATTCTACTGCACGTATAACGGCATAGTATCAGCTTCTTTCTTGTCAAATATACGGTTGAGTATCAGCGCCAGTCTGACGCCGGCCTGCGCCAATCTCTTCTCCACAACCGGGTAGCGGGTGAAGTAATAATCATCTGCACTTCATAGGAGTTGCCAACCATTACCATTAGGCAAAATGCATACTACTACTGTGTTGGTTTTTAGAAGTACTGCTGTGAACATTGGCACTGACCTCCTAGGGTGATGTTCTGCACCACATCTTTGTAGGCGTAGTTGCACGACAGACTTATGCTCTCGATCGCGTAGCTGCAAGGCGTGGGTTCGATACCATATCATGTCAAATCTTGTGATCAAATTAGTTGCATGAGTCATGAACTGGCAAAAAAAGTGCGAGTGTTTGGTTATGAATCATACTCGTTTGCGCAGGTCGCCTTCTTGTTGGCGCAATTCTCCCAGTGACCGACATCGTCAGACCATCCCTCCTGCAGTTCACAGCAAGCATTAGAGGAAACAAGGAAGATAATGGCAGTATTTTGAAGTGTTTGAGAGTCTTGTGGTGCACTGACGGTGAGGTTCGTCTGGAGGGCGGCCACCATGGTGTCGAGGCTCTTGTTGTAGAAGTCCTTCATCACCGTGTCGATGATGCTCACGTCCCACACCTGCCAACACACGTAAGAAACACTCCGAGAAGTTCAGTCCAGACCAAAACCATACCAACAACCAGTAAACACTATGCCTGAATTCAGACACAGAATGTAATGCTTGATGGAAGGCATGGCAGGAGGATACGTACGTGGTGGAGGTTGGCCTTCCTGTGGTACCAGTGCACCGTGATGGTGTTGCCGCCCTCGTCGTCCTCGTAGCCGACGTGCAGCGGCTGGTGCACGTCCCCCACGAAGTGCGCCAGGAACATCAGGCTCTCCGTCAGGTTATCTGGGTCGCACGCACACGCATGGATGTTATTCAGAACTCTTTTGCTATGTTGTGTTTTGACAGAGGCATATGGCTCCTGGCAGCGTGGCACTCACACGACGAACTCTTGGGGGAGTCCCCGTAGGTGTAGAGCTGGTCCGTGTAGTTGTTGATGGCCCCGACGACGCACATCCCCTGCTCCCCGCGAGAGTTGTGGCAATCCCCTGAAATTCACACGGCCACATCCACATGAGCTCATGCACGCATCGCCTGCCCACCACGTGCAGTTATTCAAGTGATGCGAGGGTGAGGATCGCTGTAGGCAATATAGCTCTGGCGAAAACGATCTGTTCGGCGGAGCCATGTGTTGATGTGTGGATGGAATCGTGCTGGGGGGATGCGTGCAGCAAGCAAACTAGTTAAAAGCTCAGAGAGTGGGAGACTCCTTCGTCTTGACTCAACCTCTCTCCCTCTCCAGCAAGCAACGTCACCGGCCGGTCGGTCCCCTCTCCAACTCAGATAGGCATGTGCAGTGCAAGCAAAGGATCTGCCGATACCCCCCTCATGCATATAGCCATTCTTATCTCAAAATAAATAAATAGATCATTTCTTCTTATATTGTACTAAAAATGTTTATATTCTTCTTATATTGTAAAACAAAAACGTTTGTTTTTCTCCCCTTTTAGCTAATTCCCCCGTCGGCCGGTTGTCTTTCTTTTCCCCTTCCGTACGACGAGCCGGCGGGCCCATGGATTTGCCTTCCCTCTGCATGTTGCTCCGACGGTTGGTGGCGGGGAGGAGAATCCCGTGCCTTAACTCTTGCTAGTAGATAGGTTAGGATTTCAGTCCTAGGGACGATGCCTAGATGGACGGCGACGACGACGCTTATTCTTCAAGAGTCTTTCGGACTTCAATCCTCATCCAATTCGTCTGTTGGGACGGACTAGACGGAGCTTCTTCGAGTCAGTTTTCCGGACTTCGATACTCTTTTAGTTTGTCTGCCGAGACGGATTAGACACAGCTCCGCTGTAGATTCCAGCCAGCTCCTCGGGGCGATGCGATTAGGGTTTCTTACACAGCTCCGTTGTAGATTCCAGCCAGCTCCTCGGGGCGATGCGATTAGGGTTTCTTTTCATGCGTACGCTACAGCGAGATTTGGTGTCAGGTTCTTTATATCGGTTCATGGGTTCATCGACGACGACTTCTACTCTAGTGCGCTGGCCTTAGGAGCAAGTGCACAAAAACTTCCCGACCGTCATCCACAAGGTCAGAGTGGTGACAACGAAGTGTCGGTGACTCGTTCTGATGGTTATAGTGGTTGTTCGGTGGTCTAAGGATCTTGATATAATTTTATCATGTTTGGGGTGCTTTGTACTTCTTGTGAACTTTATAATATGTTTGAATCTTTTCGAGAAAGGCTGAACTTCGGACAATACTAGTGCATTTTCATGGTGTGTCCGTTTTGCCGTTTTGCTAATTCTACATGTCAATGTTCTTTTTCTGTAAATCTCAGCCCTCTAAAACTGCACATTTGTTAGACTTACACTAAGCTATTAATACGATTTCAACAATTCTATGCGAACAAGGGTAGGCAAAATAGTTGACTTACAATAAATAATTCTAGACAATTGTTCAATAGCAAAATCACTGGTTTTATAGGGGCATGTGTATATGTGTTATCATGAAATAGAAAAAAAAATATCATTTTCTTGCTGGTTTAACATGCAGTACTGTAACTACTACAGTAATGGCGCTAACTAAGCTCTGTTAGGGTTGCATCAGAAACCATAATTGATTGAACCAGAAAGGCAGGAAAGAGGAGGGGGGATAAACTGACGGGAGAAGTTGAAGCTGCAGATGTTGGGGGTGTTGGCGTAGTGGAGCGGGCTGGCCCAGTGGTAGCGGAAGCGCATGGTGTCCGCCCAGGGGCACATCGTCGACAGCTCCCCGCCGGCCGACTCCGGCAGCAGGTCCTGCACCGCCGCCGCCGCCTCCTCCGTCAGGTACCTCTGCAGCGCACGCAACGCAAACGCGCACCACAATTCAGCACGCACATTCCTTCCCCACGAGCTAGCAGCCCCCAGCTCGATCCGACGGAATTACTATCTTCTTGGGAAGGGGGCGTACAGTACCTCAGCGATCTTGCAGACCATGATGTGGCCCTCCTTGCCCCAGGCATCGGCGGAGGCGGCCAGCAGCGCGACGAGGAGCAGGAGCAGCAGCGGATGCGGGCGCGGTGCCGCCATCTCCCCTGTCCCTCTGCTCTGCTCTGCTCCGCCTCCTTGCCCTCCTCTGCTTCTTGCGCCGTTGGCGGAGGAAGGGGGCAGGGGAGCTGGGTCCTCTGCCTCTTTCTTTTTTTCTGCTGCGGGATGGGGAGGTTGCTTCGGGTTTGGGCTTCCTTTATGTACTCCGGGTCTCGCAGGCCGCGACGTAACGTATAATTTGGTGGCACGATGGTCTAACAGGGCCGGGCTCATCGTGGCCTAGAGCAACTCTAAACAGAGAGAGTCCACATGCTGCTGCATTATTTATTTGAAGGCTTACTCAAAAAAAAAATTTATTTGAAGGCTGGCGACGAGATGTGCAAACTCAGAGTTGCAATATCTCAATCTCCATTTTTCTCAATAAATAAATAAATAAATAAAATCTCAATCTCCATAATCTTTTTCTTTGCTTTTGTTCAAATACTTCGGTTGCCTTTAAGGTCAGGCGTTTTTATCACACAATTCAAAAAGCAAGCATGCGCATAACTTAAAACAAGTTGCGTAAACAAAAAAATCTAACCGGCGACATGCACAAATCACATGTTGCCCGCGGGTGCATCGGCCCCGCCTTCAACATGTGCACCGCCCCCTCATTGGCTATCTGTTCAATTGTGGCTCGATGCTCCCTAATTTCAAGCCTATGCGCCTCCATCTTCTTATGAATTCGTCTTCTCTCTTGCATAGCATCCCACGTCGCCCTCCTCTTTTGAGATCTTATCCACCTCCATCTCCACCTTTCATTGCGTACTCTTCTCCGCGTGCTCATTCCTTGTCCTCACCGAGTCACTGGTATTATTTTTCATTGCACGTTTGCCAACATCTTTTCACGGTCACCTCACATTCAATCGAACAAACTCAATACAAAGGTAAAGGATGGCTTCTTACCTCATCGAGACATTTCTGGTCCGACGTAGGACTTGGAAGGTGCCGAGTTTCGCCCACTGTCGGAATGAAGGAAGGAAGGGCAACGCTGAGACCTGTCTTCTTCCTTCCTTTTCATTGAAGGCCGCTGCGGCACAAGCAAGGGGAGGCTGGCACCTACATGCAGTGGCATACGGTTTTTCACCTTTGCGCCCGACTCGCGACTGGCAGGGGTGAACGAGATACTGGCCTAGGCAGTGGCGGGAGGCCGTCGGAGGTGCAACACTTGTTGAAGTCTTGGGATCCAACTCCAAACCAATGGACTGGGACATGGGGGTCGAGGCAGCGTCCATGATGTCGTCAACATGTACTCGGGACGTCCGGAAGCGGTTGCAGACGAT